GTTGCATCATCTGAGCGGAAGTTGCTCTCAAGTCAAGCATCCGTGCTCAAAGAAATTTCCACGGCTCAGGAGTCGTTAGAAAACAATATCAAGGACGTTTCCGCCAGGCTGGATAATGTGTCCCAGCTGACCACCGCACTTCTCTTCTCCTCACCTCTCGTAAGCTCTAAGAGTTGCAGCTTAGATGCTGCTGCGCAATCAATCACCGTAGAGGCATTTGTCGGCCACGACTTCATGCGCAAAATCTCCGTGGCAAACTTCCTGGTATTCTTCATCGGTCTTATTCGAACTAGCTCTACAGATCGTGGTCGGGCCGCTCCCCAGGAGCGCAGTCACGTGCCTGAAACCAAACAGGATTCTTCGAACATGCCCTCCAGACCGACCAAACGTCCGTCGAGAACGAAGGCAAGGATATCATGAGTTTTCTGCTTGGCAAGGCAGTGCGAATACACACCCATTGGGTCCTGCTCAGAAGAAGCGCAGAGTGGTACCATACACACTGCAAGGGCTTATCGACCCGATTAAGATCATTCGAGTAATGATGTTTGCTCCTAACGCGGCTTCTCGTAAGCAAGCGAGACAGAAAGATTTGGGGCACGACTTTATGACTGTGAGAGGGCAAATGCTCACTTCGATGGTAGTTAGCGCAGAACGTCTTCATCCGAAAGGTTTCCTGGTTGATCCCAAGGAGAAATCAGCGTATGAAGACATTGGAGAGCCATTACTTTTGGATAGACCGGCATGGGCCTCTAAGGGTTTCATAACCCGGAAACATGTGGAAGATTGGAAAGACAGGAATGTCGGGTTAATTTTTCGAAACTTTAAGGAATCGTCCGTATCACAAGAGAGCCAACAGATATCCGGAGTCTCTCCTCAAATTGGTCGAAAACGGTCAAAGTCAAAACATGTGTCCGTAGAAGAAACGTCGCTGGAGGTTTTTGAAAACGTTCTGGGCCATGCAAACGGACTTCTTGTCTCGAGCTCGGAGAATTCTGGGAATTCTTTCCTCAAGAACATGGGTTTCTTGTTCGTTTCTTGTAACCTATCTCTGGTTACATCCGATAAAGAGGGACTCATCAAATCAATAATGGACATCCCTCTATCATGTCTCCCGGAAAGAGAGAATGATCGTCATCTGTCCGTGAAGAAGAACAGTCAAGCAGTACAAGAAGTCCTGAACACATTCCCAGAGCTGCTTCTCCGTTGCAGCTATGATGTCACCGTATTTCGCAGTAAAGATGATCTGATTTCAGGTTCAAGAGGGGAACGTAGAAGAATGAGACAGAACTGTCACCTTTTCGCAATCGCGGTCGATTTCTTGATCAGCTATCATCAACTGGGACATGCAGAGGAGCTTTTTTTTCATGCACAAAGATGTACTCAGATATATCTTTTGTGATGCAGTCGCTTTTAAAATGCTTGCGCAAATCACTTACAATAAATTGAGAGCCGGGTGTGGAGGCAATGAATTGGCTGAGGATGCCGTTGGCATTGGAATAGTTCCTCCTGGATACGAAGTTAGGAAAAAAATTATATGCTCAGAGGTCCTCAACATGCTCTGGAAGACATATGAAAAGACTAGCCTCGCAGATGATGAATCGACCGACGATGAACCGAATGAGCCGGATATGAATGATGACGAAAACTATCAGTCCGATGATGAAGACGTTGTAATTTTAACGTGACCTTACTGTTAATGTAAAGGTAGAGCTCCATACCATACTGTAAAATGAATAACTGGAGGACAACTTCCGGTGAGATCATTCAGGAGTACTACCACATGTCACCTCACATGAGATCTAATGTTTCGCCATCGTGGATCCACATCTCGAGCTCCAGCTCCTTGACTCCAAGAAGCGTTTGAAATCTATATTCCCTGCTATAACAGAGCTTTTCTTTAGGGGGTGGCTGGGTTGGGTTTGCGTAAACCTTGAGGGAGGTATACCTCATGCACTTGAGTGGATGAGTAATTGGTTGCACCTTCCTCAGAAGCCTACTGGCGAACGCCCAGTTTGCGATGACATGAAGGTTCTATAGATCTGCACCCTACAGAGTGCATAAGTGGCACGGATTCCTTCGATGTAGCAGTGCGGGGCACCGAATCACCATGGTGATTCCCGTGGCCTTGGGCTACAACTGCTCCCGCAGGTAGAGGTCTCGTAGCGATTGCTTGCGATACAAAAGGGCGACTCCACAAGTATCGAAGTATACCTTGGTATAAAAAGACCTTCGGGTTTCCCCCTAACTGCTCAAGAATGAGCTGTGTACACTTTGTGAGTTTGTAGAACTTGGTACCAATTATCAGTGCAGAGTATGAATAAAAATTATTTTTTCAAACCTTTGTCAGGTATGATAAAGCAATCCCCTGTTGCTCTAGTTCCCCTGCGGTGATCTATTCAGCTGGGGAAAACCAGCGCACAAAATCAGCCATAGTCAGGCCAATTGTGCGATTCTCATCCATGCCTGGCCTCATTGGCATGCTTTGAACGACCGTGTGCATAGACTTCTGTACGTTTGAAAGAGCGCCTTTCGTGGCGTGTTTTGGCACGAACTTATGTGTTGAGGAATGTTGAGTGTGGAAGGGGGGACGGGCCGTATGTTGGGTCCCGTTCGGATCTGCTGAACATTCGGCGGCCCTTGACCAAGACTTTGCTGTGGTAGTTGCGGGACTGGAATTGCTGACGGCATTTGTAGGTGCATTCGTAAGGAGGGCGGTTGCTACGAGGGGATTTGATGTGCTGTAGGAATGGAATTGGCGATGCGTGCGTAGGACTAACTCCGAAAAAGCGTCCCGTTTCCTAGCTCACCGAGATTCCAAGTCTCTTCTCACACCATCCATGCCAAATTTTTCCGACGGCAGAACCCCTCTCTGCTACTGCGCGACAGATCAATAAAATATGTCCTCGTCCCATGAAGTGAAGGACTGCAATGCTCGATAATTCCGATCCCATACAGAATAATCGAAAAATCCTTTATTGTCGCATTGGTAAAACTTAGTTGAGATCTCTTCCACAAACGCACGCGAGCGCGACGACTGGGCCGTCGAGCACGGCGCGGGTCGTGGATCCTAGCAGCGGGCCGAGGGCCGGGTGCGGCAGGAGCGGCGGCAAGGCCGTCAGCAGTAGGTGGACCAGGCCCAGCGACGCGAACTGGTGGCGGTGCACGGGCGCAAGAGAGGGCTAGGGTGCACGCGGCGATCATTGCGGACGAAGTGTGCAGCGCGTCGTACAGGTGGTGCAGAAGGCGCCGCAGGAGCTCGTGCACGTGTGGCAGCGGGACCAGGAGCGCGCGCGGGGCCTACATGTTGAGCGGCAGCGCTTCGAGGGGCGTGTGAAAGTGCGGAGGGAGCGTGACGGAGGTCGGCGGCGGTGGGAACGTTGGCAGGAGGGACAGCTGTCCCAGGGAGATGGCGGTGAGCTCGAGGGAGGCCGCGGAGGGGTCAGCGGGGTCATGCCCGGGGGAGAGGGGAGAACTGTGCCAGGGAGGGGCACGGGGCAAGGAGAGAGCAGATGCGAGGAAGGAAGCGAGGTTCGAAATTCTTTTACGTGGTGCAGGACGAATTGCAGGTCACCATCATTTGCGGCGGAAAAAACTACGAAAAGGGAATTAAATAATGCAAAAGGTAAAGTTCCCGGTGCGGCTCGAACGCAGGGGGCGTGAGTAGCCGTGAGTCTCCCCATTGCCCCCCACCTGTTCGGACCCCTGCCCCCTCCAGTTTCTCAATTTGACCGGTGTACCGGTCCGCCGGAAACCCTCTGGTGATACTAAGTTTACAAAGTCTTTTCAATTATCGCATTATAATTATATTCATTTTCAATATATGCCGTGCTTTCGCCCCCGCGCAGTCGGCAACTCCCGCAGCTCCCCAACCTCCCCCACCTCCACATGCTTCCTCCGCCGCCACGAGCTGCCCGCGTCGCGCTCGCGCTCCACCAGCTCGTTCGCGAGCTGCAGCCCCACGCGGTGCTCCCTCCGCTAGCGAATCGCGTCGCTACGAATCTACTGCAAAAGTCGGTAAAAAAGCTCTGGCGCACCCCTGCTCTCCGCCCGCGCGTTCAATGAAAGCCTAAGAGAGGGCAATGATCTCCTTGCAGTGACACTCAAAAAAACCATTATGCCAACATACGCTATTTCGAATCATCATCAGATTCCCTTGTCTTCTCTGAGTTTTGCCACGAAACCTTGAACGTGGAGTGCATGTGGATTTGATCTCCAAACATACCCTTTTCTTTATGACGTATAAAGTACATATGTCCCCGAAGTGGCCGTCTGTGGTTGTACAAAGTAGATTCCTTTTCGACTGCCTCCCCAACTAGCATCTCAGCGCGTTCATAGTAGCCTGCAACAGCATGTTCTAAATCAGCACGTCCAACAAATATTGAGTGTGGTGCTTCTGCTGCTCGGAGTGGAGCACGCCTCATCCTCATCAGCGAGTGATGTAATGTTTTTTGGAATTAACCCCTTCACCCATATCATCATACTCCCTGTAGACATTGGGGTTGCACTCATGCGTATTAGGCTTCTTCATGCTCTTCGAAGTCATCCGAAGGAAAAATGCGCCATGGCCACAGTAACATCAGCCTCTGCTTTGCACTTCATGACTTGAAATGCTTCATCCCTTCCTCTGCACAACAAACTTCGAGATTCTCGAACAGGGCCTTTCCCTTAGGAATGAAACGAAGTTCGCCATCAGTAGCATCGTTACCGGTGCTGTTCTTGTTATGAATCCTGCCCCAAGTCTCTGTTCTTCGACCGTTGATTAATGCCTTCTCGCCAGGAAACAAAGCACTAAAGTACATCAGAACAGTTTCCCACGGGTTGCTACTGGGTGCAGATGATGGAACGTCACCCGGCTTCGGCGAGTCATCACATCCTTCCACCATGAAATCTCGAAGAATGCAGTAACCGTTTTCGTGAAGTTCCTGAGCCTTCCAAACAAACAAAGCCCGTCCGTAAGCGCTGGTTGATGCTTATTTCCATTCCATTTGTTTAAATTCTTCCTATTTGACACTGGTCTTTGTTGGACGAGCATCTGATGTTTCATTCGTGGGGAGGAGGCTCTCGTATCTCCTATGCGTCTCTTCGGTCATATTAGAGAGACAGAACAGTCCCATTCCTCTCTTTACTTGTAGGTTAGCGTGTCCCCACAGACAATGGTGAATGCGTCGAAGGTCTTCGGGAAGAAGTAAGTGTACAGCCCGATGGTTGTCTGGAACTCCAAGAATCTGAAAGACGGGTGAGATGCACTCCGTAATAGGATTATTAGATTCAATCCAGTCGAAGGGTGCCGTAGATAGCAGACCATCTAGAATCAAAGTGTACATCTGGAACCATTTTTCCTCATATCCAGGTCTACGCTGAGTAAATCGCAAGTATTCTGGGAACGGGGGGACGTGATCGTCAAGTGGGTGACATACTTGAACAGAGGTTCGTTCCTCTTCCTCTTCACCAGAACGATTGTTCTCCCCAGACCCCTCTAACTCCTCTTCAACAGGTTTGGGATCCTTATCTGGATATTTCCTTGGAATATGTAACGCATCTTTGTCGAAGTCGCTGTCCCAACGTGTGCCATGATTTTTGTCGGACCCACTCTTCTTTTGAGGCTTCCCACGGTATGCCTTCTGTTGTTTTGTATATTTTTGCATCAAAAGAGTCAGTTCATTCGATGGTTTTGCTGGTTTTCTCCTCGAAGACTTGCGTTGCGCCACGATAGCTTTTCACGTATTGGAATCCTTTTGGCCTTCGTGTTCGAAATCTATCTGACGTTCCGTAACAGCCTTGGAAAACTGCCTCGCGAACTTTTTCTGAGAGCAAAACACTCGTTCTCTCTTTTGACTACAGATGCTCTGGATGATCCGTGGACCTGGAATTTGGCCATTGTGTTGAAGAGCATTTCACGTACAGTACTACCTGGTGAACTTGAGATGTTCATAATCTCCTCTAGTGCCATATTGTGTCGCTGACCCCTATCTCGTGTAATATTTTCCAGCCTCTGAACCTCTTCAAAGAATGTCCGTGCTCCATTTCTGAATGTACCCTTCGCATCTTTGTTTCTTACATACAACAGCAACCCCATGACGCATTCCAAAGCAAGAATCTGCGTTCCAGCTGCAAGGCGATGGAATGCGGTATCCTCAACATGTGTTATACTCATGACAGGGTTCCGATTCTAAAGATTCCTGAATGTCTCATACACCTCTGGGTGTCTGTAGAACGTCAATGCAATACGAGCAAATCGCCGTTGGGAGAACTCCTTTTTGTCTGGAATGGGCCGGAAAACATAAAGGACTTGAACACTGCTTGAGAATTCAAGGAGATTTTCCTGGTCTTCAGCCGTTCCACATGAAATCTAATGCTTGAAACAGAGGAGTACACCAGATCATCAAATGTAGCCGGTGCTCTTCTCTCCCCTCTCCGATTCAGTTCATTCCTAATTGCTATCATCTCCTCCTCAGTCATCTGAAGAGCATCAATTCTCTCCAAGAGGACAACTGTTATGTACAGTTTGCTTTCGCTTGATAGAAGCCTTCGTTCTTTTGCCAGTAGACGATTAAACATGTACATTGCTGATGTTCGATGCAATCCGTCGATTATAATGAGCTCAACGAGTCTCCGGTGACCTTCCTCGTCCATTTCGTACAAAGGAAGCCCATTGTCCTTGTCCCCAAGTCCAAACTCAAGCTTGGCAAGCAACTGTTGTCCCTTGACTGTTCTGTGCATAGCCACGGAAACCTTTCCCAGTGATCCAGGGACAAAATCTCCCCGTCTCATCTCCTCGTAAAGATCGTCGACATGAGAGGTACGAATATTGCGAGTACCGAATGCTGGAAGGATTAACTGGTCGAGGCGAATCCTGACTTCCTTCTGAATGTAGTCCCCCAGACGAGCCGGAGGGGGTAGGCGATTCATGAGGTCATTCAATTCTTCGTTTTCTTCATTGTCCGAAATGTAAGGAATGTAGACCTCGTCGCCATCACCATCCAACCCAGATATTTCAACTGACTGACCAGAGGATTCAGCGGGAGCTGCGGCACTTCTCCGAAGAGACTGCAAGGAATCAGCTTCATCAAGAACAGCTGTTTCGGACAGCTTGGGCCATTTCTTCATGCATCTCTCGAATTTAGAGTCACCGTCCTCCTCTGCATCAGGGATGAAGCGTGTTACGACGGCAAGATTCTGCGCAGCTGCACCTCACGAAAAGCCTTTGGCTTTTGAGGCAACAAGAGGTTGATCGGAATTTTGATTCTGGAAAGACTACCATGGAAGTTTTCGTGGTTCCTGCATCATTTTCTGTATTCTCCCATATGCGTGTCACTCTTTGGGACAGAGTCAAAACGTAAGCGTCAAGCGACCGTATCAAATGGCCCAGCAGCTTTCGCAAACATCTCAATACAAGGGAGGCGCAAGTTTGTGCGTAACCGATACCATTTGACAGAATTTGATGCATTCCAAGTGATAGCTGCATCAGATATCTTCGAGATATCTGATATCGGTGAGTCACCTGGCGTGGAGGTTACAGCATCTACAGAGGAATGGTATCAACAACGTCTGTTGTACACGGTTACACCTACAATTCACTGCATTTTGTGGAAATAAAGAAATTCTTTGTTTACAATCTTGCGCCAGCTCTCTAGAGAAATATTCATTTGTATTAATCATATCTTTAGAGCTAAATGTCCAAAGACAAATGCATTCAGGTCACAAAATTGCCACAAACGAGGCGTTGGGCAATCGGCCAGACTTCTCTCCTGGCAGTCACTTTCTGATTATTACTATAATACCCGTCCATTGGGGCTTCTGTAGAGCCTAAGTTAGCACGCTACTTCTGATGCACGTATATGCACGAAGAAACATGCAGATTCTTATGTCTATGACGCGGAGTCGCGGCTGCTGGTGTATACATGAGCTACAGGTCATCAGAGTACACTGCATCGGCCGTCCACTGTTGGTCGACTGCTCCTCTTTGAAAGTGATGGGCTATCGCTCATAGTATATTCCTTAGTACACTATGAAAAATAGCTCATCCTTTTCAGGTTTGTACAACACGCGCGTGAGGATGATTTTGAAGCCGTCAGTCAAGAAGTACCTTGCCCACGCGGGAAAACTCCTAGGCCCAGAACGCAGGCCTAATGCATGCTCGAGTGGTCACTTGATGAACTTTCCCAGAGTCCTGGTTCCACACAGACGCTCAACCTCTCTGCACAAGTGTTTCCCCTGCACTAGAACGTACAGGAAGACGGCATAGATATTTCCAACAATGGAATCTTTTGTATCGTTACCAGAAAGGAGGGGTGTCGTTCTTGACCTAATGGATTGCTTCCAAATGAGACTAAACATGTCATTACATGAAAAGCGCTCGTACTTGAGCTTCTCTGGCGGACTTTCAGAACACAGGCTTTGTGAACTCAGTATTTCTCCTAGGCCTTCTCTACTCATTTCATTTTACTGTATCGAGTGTATGAACCGTTTCTCAGCTGCATCCCAGTTTTCCCTCTCCCTATATAAAACGGGAACATGGCCTTGTTCATTTGACACATATGAAGAGGAAAAGCTTCGACCGACCGTACTCAGGGATGGTTTGTTAGCGTTTTGAGGGCATCTTTTCAGGTGTCCAAATATCTGCATGTAGCTTGTGTGATTTTTTCCTATCCTCCCTGCCTTCTTCGTCTTTTTTCGAATTATAACTGTCTGAAGTTGTTTCATAGATAAATTGCCAATGACAGGACAAAGTTTCTCAATTGAATCGAATGTGACCGACATGTCAGAACTACCTGCGGAAAGATCTTTCATCTCATCAAACTTCGGCATGAAGAACGCGTAAAGGCTTTCGTTACTCTTGATAGTCGCAGAAATTGTGTCAAACTCCGTGAGCGTACAGTCGGCACTACAACGAAGTACTCCCTTCTGTAACCTGGTCCCTGATTCTTGGGATGACGTACTGACTTTTTTGCCCAACTGGTTTTAATTGGCTTTATGAAAAGAGCAGCCACTTTCTCCTTGAGAAACAACAGTGGTCGTCTTGCAGAATCAGACACATCCATGTCTATCGAAGGGATTCCTTTCAACAATCATTGCTGTTCGGCTAGAGTTCCCTCTACCTTTGCAATCCTCAGTTTCAGTAAATCCAGACCTCTCTCGGTTTTAAGGACGGCCATACTGTCATGTTTGGAAGGTGTATAGGTCTTGTCAAAAGCCGCATCTGCCACATCGCTTTCAGTTTCATTGCCTTCAACATGATCATTTGATTTGTGAAGTTGATTTGCAAAGTCATCCGTTTCATGCATGACCCATGCAAACGTTTGCAGAGAAGACAGATCCTTGAAAGTTCCATTGTGAAGCACTTGGACCTTCTGCATTGAATGAGGAAAACCAAGCTGTGCCGGGTAGCTAAGCATACAATGAGGCGAATTACGATGCTTTGGACCTTCCTTCCACGTTTTGCAGATAACAGCTGTGAACCATCGCTGGGTTTGAATCCCTGAGAAAGCATCATATGTCTCCCAACTCATCTTTACAATTGATCCATTTCGTAGACCATATGGAAAGGAGTCTATGTCACTCATGAGAAAACAAGCTTGCTGATTCTGGCTCACTTACCACGTGGATTCCCTCTGCTGTGAACTATGTGTTCAACCAAACGTTAGTGGAGCAAAAGGCCAGCTCTTACCCAGTGCTCCGCACACGTTCCTGCCAACAGGCTACCTATAAAATACGGAGAGAACTACATATATCTAAGCCTGTAATCACAGCTTGTACAAACAGTAGGCAAGCCTGAAAATGGAACCAGTCCAGAGTCCAGGATGAAGGCACTTTTAAAAGAGTTGTAAAATATTTTCATTGAGACAAACGGAACTCATTGCTACTCGTAACGGACGGAAACGATCATATCTGTAAATCTACCAATGAAATTATGCACATAATTCGGAGTTCATATCAATATGGCGGTAAAATCGATGACATATGCCGTTGATACAGTCCGAATCTTGTGGTTGACGACAAAATGCTGACCGCAGATACAAACGTTGCCTCGATTAAACTATCCTGCATGTAATTGTGCACCTGACCGACAAGATCAAGACTGCTGCGTCAATTCGAATCGGGCCGTTTAGTTCAGTTACAGCTCAGAAGAATGCCAAATGAAGTAGATTGGTACGTAAATTAGTGAAGCAGCGCGAGTGCGGCGCTTCCAAGAGAGGTCTATGTGTGCATATGCTTGTGTGAGATTGTCTCTTCAACTCAGTTTTTGTCAAGAGCAGATCATAAGAAAAGCCGATACTGGAGTGGGTTTTTTCTGCAAGTTGGGTTTTTGCATACTGCGTACTTGTCGAGGATGAATAGCCACCACCTTACTTTAGCGTGATATCGTTCGCAACCGCATCAAACCCTGAATTCTACGGTCATCAGGACCAGTCTGGCCTTGAGGGAGCACTTGTGGTAAACTGCCGTTTCTAGAAACACACTGCGCAGTGGTTCATTCAATCGCTGTGACTACGTCTCCCAATGGAAACGAATGGTAAGAGAAGGCGCAGGCATGTGAAAAGTTCTGGTCGCCGTGTTCGCAGGAAGAAGCAGCCATTCTTCAAAGAGCAACTCGCTAAATCCTTCAAAGAGCCAACAAGTAGCGAAAAAACACGTGAAGAAGATG